CTTTAAAAGTATTATTCAATAGAATTATGTTGGGAGAACAAATACCACAGTCGTGGACAGGAGCCTTTATATCTTTGATACCGAAGGATGAGAAAGACATTTTGGAACTTAAGGATTACAGACCTATCTCTTTGTTGAATGTGGATTATAAAATTTTTGCAAAAATTTTGGCTAATAGACTGATGCAGATATTGCAATATTATATACATGATGATCAGACTGGTTTTATATCTGGAAGATACATGAAGAATAATATTAGACAAATTTTGAACTTATTGGAATATTTGGATAAGAATAATCAAACGCCATCGGCTTTTATCTTTTTAGATGCGGAGAAGGCCTTTGACAAATTGGACTGGCAGTTTTTAAATAAAATATTGGACTATATGAATTTTGGAAATCAATTTAAGACGGCCATAAAAGCGATATACCAAAAATAATCTGCTCAAATAATTATTAATGGAGACTTGACAGAATCTATAAATATACAAAAAGGCACTAGACAAGGTTGTCCACTTTCTCCATTATTATTTGTATTGTCTTTGGAAATTTTGTTGTCTAGAATTAGAGAATCACCAATGATTAAAGGCGTGAAGATTTTTACTAAAGAATATAAACTTAAAGCTTTTGCTGATGACTTAGTTTTTACATTAACTCAACCAATTAAATCATTGGAATCTTTGTTGCAAGAGTTACATCAGTATGGGAAAGTGGGTGGACTTAGAATTAATGTGAATAAGACTAAAATTCTTACAAAGAATATGATCGTAAGAGACAAAGATCAACTTATGCAGATGTCAGGATTTGAAGTAGTTAATAAAGTTAAATATTTGGGAATTTTTTTGTCATCATCCAACGCAAAACTCTACCAGAATAACTATGAAAGATTGTGGAAATTGGTACAAAAGGACCTATTATCGTGGAAAAAACTACAGCTTTCGTTGCTGGGTCGTATAGCGGCCATTAAAATGACTATTCTGCCTAAGTTTCTTTTTTTATTTCAGATGATACCTATTTTAAAGAATGAAATTAACTTGAAAGAATGGCAAAGAGATTTGAATTGCTTTATTTGGGAAGGCAAGAAGGCGAGAGTTAAATTTAAGATTATTCAAGACACTAGAGAACGTGGAGGACTTAAAGTACCAAATTTGACACTTTATTATGATTCTTGTGCATTAACGTGGATGATTGATTGGATTAACTTGTCTAACAAAGGGATTTTGAATGTTGAAGGTTGGGATTTGTATTTTGGGTGGCATGCTTACCTTTTTATGCAGAAAAAAACTGATAAAACTTTCAGAAATCATATAATAAGGTCTGCATTGTTAAGAGTTTGGCAAAAATATTTTTTTAAGTTTAATGTTAGGTTACCACTCTGGGTGATTCCGTCGCACATTTTTCAAGTCATAACTTGTTATACCAGAGTGGTGGTGGTAACTGGTGTTTGAAATCAATGGATGAGTTAAAGCAAAACAACCCAAATTTTTCTTGGCTTTTGTATGGACAAATTAAAGATAGATGGCGAATTGATAAAAAGACTTCTTTTGTTTTGGAAGATGGGATTTTTTTGAAGCAAATAAGAGATGGTGCCAAAGCTCATATCAAGAGGATATATAATGTTTTATTAGAATTGGACTCAGAAACTGNCAATATGGAGAAGATGGATTGTTTACATTCAAAAGAAACACAGAGTGGTAGAATATAATTTAGGTTTTTAGATTTTTTTTAAGGTTGTTTATTTCTATCCTTTCTTGTAGATTAAGATACTATGTGGAGTTAGAGATATTAGTATTTGTTTACTTTTATATGAATATTATCCTGGGATTAGGTTTGGGAAGTCTGGGGGTGGGGTGGGGGTTTTTTGATTGTTTATTGTGATTACCTATGATTGTTTTTTTTTTATGATGGAAAAATAAATAAAAATTTTCTGAAAAAAAAAAAAAAAGATTTTATTTTCCTGGGCTCCAAGATCACCGCAGATGGGGACTGCAGCCAAGAAATTAAAAGACGCTTGCTCCTGGGGAGGAAAGCTATGGCAAATCTAGATAGCATACTAAAAAGCAGAGACATCACCCTGCCAACAAAAGTACGTATAGTCAAGGCCATGGTTTTCCCAGTTGCAATGTATGGATGTGAAAGTTGGACCATAAGAAAGGCTGAGCGCAAAAGAATTGAGGCCTTTGAACTATGGTGCTGGAGAAGACTCCTGCGAGTCCCTTGGACTGCAAGGCGTTCAAACCGGTCAGTCCTAGAAGAGATCAACCCTGACTGCTCTTTAGAAGGCCAGTTCCTGAAGTTGAAACTGAAATACTTTGGTCACTTAATGAGAAGGACTCACTGGAGAAGGACTCACTGGAGAAGGGCCTAATGCTGGGAAACATTGAGGGCAATAGAAGAAGGGGATGACAGAGAATGAGGTGGCTGGATAGAGTCACTGAAGCAATAGGCATGAACTTAAATTGACTCCAGAAGATGGTAGAGGATAGGAAGACCTGGAGGAACTTTGTCATGAGGTCGCGATGGGTCGGACATGACTTCGCAATTAACAACAACAACAACAACAAACATAATAAAAAAGAAATTATACTGGCATTTCTGTTGATTGCCTGAGTTCAGTAGCAACCTGAATGGATTGTTGTTTTAATTTATGCTAGTGTTATACATTTATACTTTTTATTTTATTATTGGATGCAGATTGATATGTTATTTCTGATAATTATCTAAAACTATTTCAAACAAATAAACACTCCAGACACAATTCCTGTCATGTTCTGGCTGAATAAGCCCAACCAAACAAAACATTAGAGACATGATGAACTCCAATGTTAACTTTATTAGGCAATAAACATTCCAGCAAGTTTGAAAGGAAGCTAGCTCTGAAGCAATGGCAGGAAACAGATAATTAAAAGAGTAAAACTCTCCCTCTCCTCTCTGACAGTTCAGGTCACATTGTCCAATACATCTTCTAGTAATTGTTATGAGAAGAAACTTTAGTTAGCCAAGACAACTCTTCAGCTCTCACAGTGATAAGAAGCACTGTAGATTCAGATGGTTCCTGTTATGTATTAAAGCAATTTCATAAGTTCTGTTATAAAAACGATTAGCTAATTGTTTAATTTGAATCCTCGACTATCTGTCTGTATATACTGTAAGCCTTTGTTTTGGGCAGGAATGTATACTTTAAAATCATTGGCTGCTGCCTAGTGGTGGTCCGTATAAATATGAGTCAAGCGGCTGCTAGAGCTGCTTCTGTGTGAACTGAATAAATGAGCTCTTACTTCAACCCTGTGTCTTCAATGCCTCACTGTTCCCACTACACAACAGTGGCGACGAAGGTGGAATATGCTGCTAGGAAGAAAAGAGCTGGAGGACTAAGAGCTAAGAGTCACTAAGGGTTAAGACCAGGCATCAATGCTCTGGTTGGAACAGCATTCCCCACTTCTGCCTGCCAGTATGCAAACGCTGGAGGTATCACTATCCTAAGGGATCCGTCCCTAGGATTCTCACAGAAGCCCTAGTAGCATAAGGCATTGGAGATGCAGTAACAGCCAGCCATGGCCAAAGTCAGCAAACTATCCGAGTTCGACGTAACGCACCCAGAACAGTGGAGTTCATATGTCTCCAGAGTCGAAAACTACCTTAGAGCGAACCAGGTCAGAGAAGATAGTTTAAAAGCTGCAACCTTGCTGTGAGTGTGTGGCCAAGCTACTTTTGATATAGCAGAGAATCTAGTCACTCCTGCTACTTTGGAGTCAGTTACCTTCGCTGACTTGAAACTCTTTTCAGAATAGAGTATGATATTGCTCCAGAAGGAGGAGCATTCTCAGAACTAGAGCACATTACCCCTTAAAAGAAAAGAGTCAAGCTACAAGGAGTTCCATGCTCCATGGAACTGGACACTGGGTCAGCTGTGTCTATAATGCCTTACAGGACTTTTAACTACATCTGCAGCAATGGTGGGAAATGAGTCAGACTCAAGCCATCAGATTTAATCTTGATAGATTTTCAAAATTCCCACGTAGTGGTTAAAGGCAAAACTACATTAAAAGTAAAGTTCAAAGAGTTTGAGGGTCCCCTCAACATCGTGGTGGTGGAAGGCCAGCAAACAAGCCTGATTGGCCCAGACTGGTTTGATGCCCTGGGCATACATGTGACTGGCATCAACAGAACCCAAACAGCGGATTTGGCAGCTGTCTGCCAGGAATTTGCTGATGTATTCAGCCCCAACTTAGGAAAATACAAAGGAGCACCAATTGCTCTTCACCTTGATTCAACTGTAGCCCCAATCAGAGTAAAGCTTCGTAGAGTGCCTTTTGCCCTTAAGCCCAAGATTGATGCAGAGTTAGAAAAGCTCGTTCAACAGGGAGTGTTGCAACCTATTGACAGCACTGTGTGGGAAACCCCCATAGTCACACCGGTTAAGCCTAATGGAGAGGTGCGCATCTGCATTGATTATAAGTGCACTATTAATAAGGCACTTCAGCAGCATGCGTATCTGGTACCTGTAGTTAGCCACATCCTGGCATCCTTACAGGGAGGTTGCTTATTCACAAAGCTGGACCTGGCACAGGCTTATCAGCAACTGCCTGTGAATGATGCCTCTGCTGAGGCACAAACAACAGTTACCCATAGAGGGGCATTCAAGGTTTGTCACCTGCAGTTTGGGGTCAGTGTAGCCCCAGGGCTCTTTCACAGCATGATAGAACGCACGCTAAAAAACATTCCAGGTGTGTGTCCTTATTTTGACGACGTTCTAATTGCTAGGGAGTCAGCAGAAATACTTGCAGAATGTCTAAGAGCTGTTCTTCAGCGCTTCCGCGAAGTGGGGCTGAAGTTCAAAAGAGAAAAATGTCAAATAGGAGTGAACTCCACAAAGTTCCTCAGTTTCCGGATCGATGTTGCCGGAATACACTCTGCTGATTCAAAGCTTAAAACTATTTTGCAGGCTCCCGACCTAAGTCAAAGGGGGAGCTGCAGGCATTTCTGGGGTTACTTAATTTTTACCATGCCTTTCTTCCTCACAAGGCTGCATTAGCAGAGCCTCTACACAGGCTCCTAGATAAAAGGGCACCATGGCAGTGGACTAGCGCCCATGAAAATAGTTTCAAAGCAGTCAAATCACTGCTGTCTTCAGACTCTGTGTTAACACACACTTTAACGAAAAACTGCCTATAAGTATTGCATGTGATGCTTCATCATACGGGATAGGAGCAGTTCTGAGCCATATAATGGCAAATGGGCAGCAAGCACCCATAGCTTATTACTCAAGGACACTTTCCCCCGCGGAAAGAAATTACACTCAAATAGATAAGGAGGCATTAGCCATAGTAGCTGGAATAAAGAAATCCCATGATTTCCTTTATGGTCGCCCATTTATGGTCTTTACAGACCACAAGCCTCTTCTAGGTCTGTTTACTGCAGACAAGCAAACCCTTCAGATCCTTTCTCCAAGGATGCTGAAGTGGTCAATCTTTATGGCAGCCTACAATTACAGGCTAGTCCATAAGCCTGGCAAGGAAATGGGTCATGCTGACGCACTCAGCAGGTTGCCCCTGCCTAATTCAGAACCAGACTCTGCATCTGCTGCATGCATCCTGTCAATTCCGGATCTTCCAGAATCTCCCCTTCACGCAGGGGATGTGGCTGCTGAGACAGCCACTGACAAAACAGTCAGTTGTGTTTTGAACTGGGTGCTGAGGTGGTGGCCAGGAACCAGTCCTGGGACAGAAATTCAGAGTTTCTTCAGAAGACAAGATGAGCTGTCTGCATACAAAGGAGGAGTAGGATTATAGTCCCACACACATTAAAGGAAAGAGTCTTAGAATCTCTGCATGAGGGACATCCTGGAATAGTCAGGATGAAGGCACTTGCGAGAAGCTACCTGTGGTGACCAGGGTTGGATAAGGATATTGAGGCTCAAGTTAAAGGATGCCAGGTTTGCCAACAGACCAGACCTGAAATGCCTCAAGCCCCAGTACATCGCTGGGAGACTACACAACCCCCCTGGTCTAGGATTCACATAGATTATGCAGGACCGTTCCAAGGACAGGTGTTCCTAATTGTAGCGGACAGTCACTCCAAGTGGCTCGAGGTAGCACCTGTCCCTACTATGACTACTGCCAGGACCATCCAGGAACTGCGCAGGATCTTTGCCACACATGGCTTACCTAATGTAATTGTATCAGATAATGGGGCACAATTTACTGCCGCTGAATTTCAGTCATTTCTAAGGTCTAATATGATTAGACATGCCACTTCTGCCCCATTTCACCCGGCCTCTAATGGTAAAGCAGAAAGGATGGTCAGGACGACCAAGGAAGCACTTAAAAGAATTACAAAGGGCAATTGGCATCACAGGTTGGCAGACTTTTTGTTCTGCCAATGCACAACTCTGTGCACTTCAATGGGCCATAGCTCAGCAGAACTCAGATGGGGATGTCGGCTGACTATGAAGCTGGACCGTCTCCATCTGGACCGAGTGGCAACTAAGACAGCATAGCCCAAGCCCCCAAGGAATTTGCAAGTCGGCAAACGAGTTTGGGCAAGGAACTATGGTCAAGGGGCACTGTGGGTGGTAGCTGTGGTTTGCAGGGTGTCAGGACCACTGTCATACAAAGTGGTCCTGGAAGACGAGCGTGTTTTGCACCACCACATTGATCAACTACGTTGGCGGCAGGCTAATTGACCCTGGCCATCGATCAAGAGGAGAGTCGAGAGCTGCCTGACAGCTGCGGTGCGTCTGAGTCTCCTGGGTCCAGCGAGACTCACAGAGACATGCAGGACGACTCAATCTTGGTTGAGTCACCACCATCTGGAGGAACATTGCCCTCAGAACAGAACTTGCTTGCGGACTTGTTTCCCAGCAATTCCGGGATTGCTTTGCTTACAGACATGTGTACTGGTCTACCCGGACAGACCAGCCGAAAGCATACCGGTCGGTCAAGGAGTCCGGGTCTACCCAGCCAGCTGATGGTAGACTGGGAACCTCCGGCAGAAATGCGGTGATCAGAACAAATGCGAAAGCCGCCTGCCTATCTAAAAGACTATGTACATTTTATGGAGCTGTGATTATCTAAGGGGAAGGGGTGTTATGTATTAAAGCAATTTCATAAGGTCTGTTATAAAAACGGTTAGCTAATTGTTTAATTTGAATCCTTGACTGTCTGTCTGTATATACTGTAAGCCTTTGTTTTGGGTGGGAATGTATACTTTAAAATCATTGGCTGCCGCCTAGTGGCGGTCCGTATAAATATGAGTCAAGCAGCTGTTAGAGATGCTTCTGTGTGAACTGAATAAATGAGCTGTTACTTCAACCCTGTGTCTTCAATGCCTCGCTGTTCCCACTACACAACAGTTCCCCTCTTCCCCTCCTGCACTGTTGGCAAGTTAGAAGCACGCAGTAGTCCTAAAGATAGTAGGCTTTGCAACTTGACAGGTTGCCCCCGCTAGAGGAAAAAAGAAACCTGGGAAAACAAACGAACACACTTAAATACTTGCTAATATTTTCCCTGTACTGGCCCCGGCTTCTGGGGGTACTTTGTGTGGAATCATTTCACCAAATGATCTGCTTTTATGTGCTGAGCTTTTACCCATCTAGATTCTGACATCAGGTAACCCTTCCATTGGATTAAGTACTGCAACTTCCCCTTGTGGATTCTGGAATCAAGGATTTGTTTAACTTCATAATGCGTTTCCCCTTCTATCAGTATTGGGACAGGGACTGCCGTCCCTACTGGTCTCAGTGTGGATTCCTTGTATGGCTTCAGTAAGCTACAATGGAAAACTGGGTGCATTTTACCCAACTATCTTTGTAGTCTTAGCTGTACGGTCAGTGGGTTAATGACTTTCACTATGGGTAAAGGACCTATGTACTTCAGCTCTAACCTCCGGCAACTTTTTTTCAGTTTAAGATACTTTGTAGACAGATACACTTTATAACTCACATGGGACGTCTCCTGGGGAGCTCATTTCTTGTCTGCCTGTTTTTTCTGACTCTCGGCTGCCTTAGCTAAGGCTTTCTTTGCATCACTCCAAAACTTTTGAAAAGAACCTACCCAGTCACTTAGGGTGGTTGAGAATGGGGTCTCCTGGGGGCTCTCAGGAATGGGCACAAACTCCACCCCCGTTGCTAACCTATATGGAGTGAAACCAGTACACTGTGCACTGCATTATTATATGCCACTTCTGCAAACAGCAAAAGCTCTGACCAATTCGTTTGCTGATAGTTGACATAGCAACGCAGGTACTGTTCCACTATTGCATTAGCTCATTCCGCCAATCCATTAGTATTTGGATGAAAAGCAGAACTTAGGCCCCGGGAAGACCCAATCATTTGCACAAACTCCCTCCAGAACTTAGCAGTAAATTGGACCCCCCTGATCTGAGATGATGTGCTTAGATGTGCTGTAAAAGCATCTTCACTAGTTTCTGGGCTGAGGGGAGACCAGCACAGACAATGAAGTGGGCTTGCTTGGAAAATAAGTTGAACACAGTCCAGATTACAGTGCTTCCCACACTCTCTGGCAGCTCCGCTATAAAGCTATCTCTTCCCAGGGTCTGGTCGGGTCAGCCACCTGTTGCAATAGTCCCAGACTCTTCTCTGGTAGTTTTTTTGCTGGCCATGCAGACAGCACAGCTCCCCACATAGCTCTCAAAATCTTTCTTCATATTTGGCCACCAGAATTTACGATTAGCGAGATGCAGCGTTTTCAGGAATCCAAAGTGGCCTGCTTGCTTAGCGTTGTGGTTTTGATGTAGGACTTGCAGCCTTAGGCAGTCTGGGACATATAATTTGTCCCCTTTCCACACCAACCCCTCCCTCATGGTTAACTCTTTCTGATGAGCCATAAACCATGCAACGGTTTGCAGCTCTTGCTTTAATTGTTGTGCAAACACATTGATGGGAGGTGAGCTTCTCTTTTTCTCCTGTCATCTGGTAATAGCTTGCACCACTTGCTGTTTATGGGGACAAACAAGCTCACCACCTCCTGCCGGGTGCTTTTGTATTAGGGCATGTAGGGCAGGACATCAGCCAGGAGGTTCTTCCCCCATGGGATGTATTTTAGTTCAAAGTCAAATCTTTTGAAATACTGCGCCCATTGGACTTGCTTAGGAGAAAGTTTGTGGGGAGTTTTTAGGGCTTCTAAATTCTTATGGTCAGTCCACACTTCAAAGGGGACCTTGCTTCCCTTCAGGAACTATGTTCAAGTTAGTAGCACCCACCACACTGCAAAGCCTCTTTCTCCCACACTACCCATCGTGGCTCCATCTTATTTAGCTTGAGAGACATGTATGCACATGGTTGTAAGTTCCCCTCCCCATTTTGCTGGAAGAGGACAGCTCCCACAGCCAAATTGCTGGCATCTGCCTGGATCACAAAAGGCTCTTCAGGGTTTGGGTGTTTTAACACTGGTTCAGCAGAGAATAGCCCCTTCAACTTTTCAAATACCGTCTGGCATTTCATCGTTCAGTTTAAGGACTGATTTGCCCAGGGCTTCTCCCCCCCTTTTCTAGTTTTTAACAGTTCAGTGATTGGCAAGGCAGTTGTGGCAAAAGAAGGGATAAATTGCCCATAGAAATGTGCAAACCACAGGAAGCTCTGCAGCTGCTTGCAGGTGTGAGGGGCTTGCTATTCGATGATGGACTTCACCTTCACTGGGTCCATCTCTATCCCCTTGCACAACACACGGTAGCCCAAATAGTCCAGACTAGATTTGTGAAATTCGCATTTTGACAGCTTGGCATACAACTTAGCATCCAATAGCTTTCTCAGCACCTGTTGCACAAGTTTTATGTGCTTATCCATAGTCTCAGTGTAAATGAGGATGTCATCAAAATATACAAGGACCCTGTTAAGTCCAGAGAATAATGGCGCTTGAGACGAAGCATTTCTAACAAGTCTTTATTCTCTGCTTCCAATTACGAACAACCTGAGCAGAGGCACGCAGGCCTCTATTTATACCTTCTGATCCCCGGGCAAATCCAACCAATCACAAGGCAGTCTTTTCCCGCCTTGCGCATGCGCGCAAGGCCGGCGCCACTCAGTCTGGTCCTGGGCAGCTTTTGAAAATGCCCGGGACTCTTGCAACGTCCCGAGCCTGCTTTTGCAGGCTCGGGACACAACACCCCTCCCCCTAGATGAAATAATACTGCGCCCACATGGACGCCATCATAGTAATGGTTATATATTTAAATATTAAGTTGAGTCACACGGTGTGTATAAGATGTGGGACTGTTCCGTCGTACAGAGACCCAATAACCCCAACATCGTTTACGTAGAGTCAACCAGCCAGAACCTCTAGTTCAGTTATTGCAAGTGACATGCTCACCTTACGTAATCTGCAAGGTATTTGGGAGGGCCTTTGACCCTGAGCGACCTTCTCGGACCTGGGGAACCTGTAGTGTTTTCCCCGTTGCTTCCCACACTAGGTGAATTGCCCTGTGGTTGTCTTGTGACTTCTGTTTGACTTTCCTGCCCGTCTCCTAGGCTTGAGAAGTCATAACTCTGTTGATTGCCGCACCTGGTTGACCTACCACCTATGGAGTTTTCCAACCCCTCTGAACTCATCTCCGTGTTTCCTGACGGAGTGTGGTTTTCCTGGCTCCTTCCTGTAATGTTAGGGTCTAGGGATGCCTCCCTGTTAGCCATTATGCGTGGGGACATCTTTCTATGAGCCATTTCAGCAAAGGACGTGTTTCCCCTCTGTTTTGCCTGCTCTCTTGCATGTTGTGAGTTGTGAGTATGCTCCCAGTTATTCTCCATGTCTGGAGTATTGTTTGTGAGGTGTGGATAATTAGTATACCTCCGGTGGGACTCCCAGGCTGGAGTGTGTGTGTGGGTGTCTGTGTGCCCCCGTCCCCATGAATTGCTACCTGAATCTCCTGTGGAACTTGGGTGTTGAGAGCCCGTGTCGTTCCCCACAACCATTGTTGGCAGCAGATTCTGATTCTCAGAATGCATTCCCCATTCCTCCTCCCCCCCTAGAGGAGACTGAGGAGAAACCCCAGGCAAGTCCCGCCTCACATGTAGTTGATCAATGTGGCAGCGAAGAATGCGGCTGTCTTCCAGGGACACCTCGTAGGACAGAGGCCCCGAGACCTTGCAGACCACAGCCAGGACCCAGAGGTGTCCAGGCCCGTAGTTCCTGGCCCAGACAGAATCGCCTTCACACAGGACCCGTGGTGGGTGTGGCTGAGACACCTGTGAAGCTACACGCTCCGGATGCAGCCTGTCCAATTTAGTCACGAGCCGACGACCCCAGTGGAGTTCGGCCGGGCACTTACCCGTGGCAGTGCACGGAGTAGTACGATGGGCTAGAAGAAAGTCAGCCAACCTGTGATGCCAATTGCCGTAAGTCAGCTTCTTGAGGGCGTCCTTGGCGACGCGGACCATCCGTTCAGCCAGACCGTTGGTGGAAGGATGGAAAGGAGCCGAAGCAGCGTGGCGAATCATGTTGGCCTGTAGGAATCCCTGAAACTCAGTAGAAGTAAATTGAGGAC